AAATCAATAAGGCATAAATCCTGATGCACGTTTCGGCACTGCCAAAGCGCCTTTGTCAAAGATAACCGAGGTACTGACTGATTGTACAATTTATACCCGTTAGGAGAGCAGGCTTAGACCAATCACAGCCGTCGCTATAACTCCCGCCGAAATTACAGACCACCTGTGTCCGTCCTCATTATGCTAAACACGCCTGTAGGCGTTTACTGGGGGCGGGATCTTAACTTTGTGAATGGGTTATCACGCCTCTACCCCACTCACTAGGGGGTGTCGGAGGGCGGTATCAGTGTATGAATGCTGATAGTATGTGTGTGTAGAGAAAGCCCCGATATCTGGGAAAATTTACTGGAGGTTCAGGGGCAATCTAGAATATAAAGCCCATCTATTTTTCTCCAAGAGATTAAAGACCATTCATTTATTTGGATTTACAACTTGAGATACTATCCTTCTCTAATATAGGTCTTAATATGATATGCTTAAAGTCATATACACCCATATATCAAGCTCCTAAAAACGGTACAAATTAGAGTCTAGATGGAAACTATACAGAGTACATAAAGACACTTTATATACACAAAGGGACAAAGGTATCTTGTCACCTGCCCTTATCCAACTGTCTCATCATATCTGAGTTATTGGTCTAGCCCTATATTTCTCAATATTTTTCTTAAAGGTATATATACATAGTTTTACAGCAGTACCTAGCCTCTTATTTATACCCCTATATAAGACGCATATTCAATATCATATTCAAAAACCGCAAAGACCAACATATATACATATTTACATAATTACAGTTGCAGAGTATATACTCATATGACGGGTCAATAAATGGGGTAAACGTAAACCCCTCATTAAGACCCTTAGGTGATAGGGTATCAAACTTATGGATCCAATAGCATTCCCTTCTTTTCAGCATCTGTTCCAAATCTCCTCCTCTTCTACCCACTTGAATTCTTTCAATTCCCGCAAATTTGATGCATTTTGAATGGATTAAAGATGTAAACTTGTTTGGCAGGAGATTGGCCCTACATAAATTTTTCAAAGTAAGAGACGAAAAAAAGGCCGGTGAACTTGGCTTTAATCCAAGAGAATACCAATGTCTACAAGAATTGTTTTTTCTATTAGAGAGTAATGACACTAGTGCTACAGTACCCTACACTGACCTCCGTCCTAAAAGTAAGTTTACACCTAACTTCAGAGACTACAAGAATATTGATATGTTTGTGGATTCCACTACAAATATGATCAAAAAGATCAATACAGACGTACTGACAGTAAAACCTAGAGGTAATCTCTCAAGGTTAGAATGGAAGGCGCTTTGTGATCTTAAAGACAATGACAATCTTGTTATTAAACCCACAGACAAGGGGGGTAACATTGTAATAATGAATAGACAGCATTATATACAAACAGCAGAACGCATTCTCTATGATGATCAAACATACAGATTACTCACGTCCAACCCTTTGCTCAGATTTCAAATAGAGTATAAGACCCTTTTAGACCAAGCTTTTGACCAGGGTATACTAACCAAAGAGGAATATGGTAGCATCTTCATTAAAAATCCAACAGTTTCCACGTTTTATTGTCTTCCAAAAATTCACAAACAATATGAGATATTTACAGCAAGACCAATAGTATCAGGGTCTACCAGCAAAGGAAGCATATACGTGGACAAAATTTTACGTCCCTTTGTGGAAAAATTACCATCTTACCTTAAAGACACTAAGGACACCTTGAAGTGTCTGACATCATTGAAAGTACCCAAAGGGGCAGTACTTTGCAGTTTGGATGTTGAGGCACTATATTCCTCTATACCACATTCAAGTGGTATTGACCATGTCGAATATTTTTTAAGGAAGAGGGGATCGGAACACATGGTTCATACCAAATTTGTATTAGATCTATTACGATTTATACTGACCCATAATTTCTTCCTTTTTCAAGACAAGTACTACCACCAGGTGCAGGGGACTGCTATGGGAACATCTTGTGCCCCGGCATATGCCAACATGCACCTGGGGTGGTGCGAAAATATGATTGTCTTTTCAGAACTGTACAAAAAATATACCGATCATATTTATTTATGGAAAAGGTATATAGATGATATCCTTGTGATCTGGACTGGAACCAAGAACTCGTTTGTGGATTTTGTTGATAGGTTGAATACGAACAACCTCAACCTTAAGTTCACTATGGAGTTAGGTGATCAAACACTTAACTTTTTGGATTGCACTCTGACACTAACTGAGGGTTTGGAGGTGAAAACCACTCTCTATCGCAAACCCACATCAACAAATAACATGCTTAGATGGGAGAGCCATCATCCCATCCCCTTAAAACGGGGCATTCCAGTAGGTCAGTACCTAAGACTGAGAAGAAATTGTTCTTCCCTTGAGGATTTTCAATGTAAGGCCTTAGAATTGAGGCACAGATTCAAAGAAAGAGTGTATCCTGTCAGATGCCTTAAGCAAGCTTATCAAAGAGCTCTCAAATGCGATCGTGGGACCTTGTTACAGAACAATACGAAACAACAGTCCAAACAGATTAGATGTATAGCTAATTATGATGCGGGCTGGGAAGATGCCAAGAAGATTCTGGGACGCTTATGGCCACTCCTAACTCAAGATCAACACCATCGAGACACGGTTCCACCTAAAGTGTCCATTACAGCTAGAAGGGGTAAAAACATCAGGGAGATACTAGTGCCCAGCCATCTATCGATATCTCGGAAAAAAACAAAAAATAGCTGGATCACAGTGCATGGCACATATCAGTGTGGAAAATGTGTGGCATGCTGCTATATTGCTAAAGGTTCTAAAATACTTACTGACTCCACCAACACCATAACAATGCCCATCAAACATTTCTTCAACTGTAATACCTCAGGTATGATATATCTGTTGACATGTAGGTGTGGCATGAAATATGTGGGCAAGACTATACGCCCCTTCAAGAGACGCATAATGGAGCATATACATTCGGTGATCTCTAATAGAGATACCCGAGTCGCTAGGCATGTGAGACTCAACCATAGGGATACACCTAAATGCATCACATTTGCGGGAATTGAAAGAATTCAAGTGGGTAGAAGAGGAGGAGATTTGGATCAGATGATGAAAAGAAGGGAATGCTATTGGATCCATAAGTTTGATACCCTATCACCTAAGGGTCTTAATGAAGGGTTTACGTTTACCCCATTTATTGACCCGTCATAGGAGAATATACTCTGCAACTGTAATTATGTAAATATGTATATATGTTGGTCTTTGCGGTTTTTGAATATGATATTGAATATGCGTCTTATATAGGGGTATAAATAAGAGGCTAGGTACTGCTGTAAAACTATGTATATATACCTTTAAGAAAAATATTGCGAAATATAGGGCTAGACCAATAACTCAGATATGATGAGACAGTTGGATAAGGGCAGGTGACAAGATACCTTTGTCCCTTTGTGTATATAAAGTGTCTTTATGTACGCTGTATAGTTTCCATCTAGACTCTAATTTGTACCGTTTTTAGGAGCTTGATATATGGGTGTATACGACTTTAAGCATATCATATTAAGACCTATATTAGCGAAGGATAGTATCTCAAGTTGTAAATCCAAATAAATGAATGGTATTTAATCTCTTGGAGAAGAATAGATGGGCTTTATATTCTAGATAACAGGTATAAATTGTACAATCAGTCAGTACCTCGGTTACCTTTGACAAAGGCACTTTGGCAGCGCCGAAACGTGCATCAGGATTTATGCCTTATTGATTTTAATCACAGCACTTTTATATGCACATTAGGTGATATAGAGACATGATCAAGAAATCTATCTAGAGTGACGGATATGGGTAGCAATTAGGGACTATTACAGACCGGCTTCTTATTTGGGTGGTTAGCCTTAGCTCACAGAATCGTGGATCTTTAGTGAAATCCCTCTAATAGCACGGGCTAGGGCTAAATAGATGTCTTTATGTCTGTAGACCTGGGCAGCAGATAGGCCAGTTCACCTCCCTTGCTCTCTATGCTTATTAGCTGTTGTGAGTTTAGAGGATACTTTGTATCCATAGACCAGCACTAAGGGCTAGTATTTAGCAACTGTATATCTTTAGCTTTTTATACAGGATAGCTGCTTCCTAGATTGCTACATCATATAGGAGACACACAGCTTATTACTGTGTACTAGCATATTGTTGTTGTGGTATTTTTTAGTATCACTTTATTCTTATCTCTCCCTCCTCACCTAGATTCTAGACTCCTTTTATGACTCTTTAGTGTGTTAGTTTTTGTTAAGATTTATTTTTATTTCTGGGGAATTTATACCCTACAATAAAGAGGATTTTTTTATTTTTAATATGTAACTGCAATAACCAGAGAACTCTTTCTGTGCTCCTGTGGCTTTTTTGCTCGGGATCATCTTTAGTAGTTTATTGCAAATCTATTTAGTTTTTTTGGGAAAATTGGTAAGTGGGAAAGCCACCCATTTACAGATAGTGATTTCTGTCTAGTAAGAGCAAGGGATTTTGTTTTGTTTATTATTATTTAAAGCACCTGTTTTTCCTATCAAATAAAAAGGAAAACCGAACTGAATGTGTCCTTGACTTTGTATACCTTAGAAGGCTGTGGTTACTGTAACATCTGTGACAAAATCCTACCTGTAAAAGAGGTGGTTTGTTACATATGGTGGAGAATGCAGGCAGCCACGTAAGCCTGAGGGTAGAAGTCATGTGTAACGGCTACCCAGCTAGAGCGAGGGTATCAGCCGTTGTGGACATCATTTTCTTCCCGACAAGTTGCTGTATAGTGATGTAGCTGCTTATTCCCCTCTGCTGGTTCCAAGGTAGAAGTCAGGTATAGCTCTGAAAAGAGCTTAGTGATTAGGCTGCAAAATTCCCCTTTCAAGAATGAGACAAGGCTACGTTTTGAAGGGTCAAGAAGAACTGAAGCTTTAATGACAGACACTCTCTTTTATGTGATTCTGCCCATACAAGGGAGACACCCACATAATTATCAGTACAGCCAATAAACACAATATACATTCCATACATCTCCTCCCCTTAGATAACCACATAACATAATTAAAATTAACATATTTTTCCCCAAAGTTTGGATGTACCCCAAATACTTGGGGTACAGGCATACATCTGGTGTCCCTAGATAGCTTTGTTCTGGGGGGCCAATATATCCAAAATTCAGCCCATTCGGTTCAGCCGTTCGGGAGATATGGGGCTTGAAGGTTTTGACCGACCTCACGGGCAAAATAGCCGAAAACAGTTCCATGAATTCTGGCCCTGCAGTCGGTCTTAGTTCGTGTGTAAAAATTCCCGAACGGCTGGCCATCCGTATATAATCTTATGTTCACTGGAATCCCCATAAGCTGTTAAGTCTTTCTCCCGAACGCCCTGTCATTCGGTAGTTGTAGCACGATTTCCCGAAGTTATGGAGGTCTCAGCGGTGTTTGCCTATTCGAGTGTCCAATTTTAGTTCCAGACACTCGACGGCAAAACACCGCTGTTCGGGAGTTAAAATGGCCGCGAACACGTGGAAGTCCCGAAATGGCGGCTACCCATACAGTTCGTATAGCGTTCGTGTGTTTCTTTCTACGAAAATCCCCATAGAGCAGGGAGGTAAATTGGTCATAATTAGGAATCAAGGTGGCCTGTTATTTGGTAGCAAGCATTCGTATGGTGAATGCTTCCAATGTCCCAAACTGAATAGTAATCCACAGTCTCCATATGCCGGTTAAGCTGTCCTCTGTTACATGGTTCCCCTTTTGTGGGACACCCCGGCAGACCCGGATTGATCCTTTTCAGGTCAACGTGGGGCTGTCCGGACATTGGTTATGGCAGAAGTTTGGTTTGTCTAGACAGGCCATCTGCGTTCCCGTTGAATTTGCCAGGCCGATATTGGATGGAAAAGTTATATGGTTGTAGTGCAAGGCTCCATCTCAATAAACGGCCATTATCTCCAGCCACGTGATTCAATCACACAAGGGTATTATGGTCAGTGATGAGGGTGAACTCCTGACCATACAAATACGGGGTAAGTTTCTTTAAGGCCCAGACCAGGGCTAAACACTCCTTTTCCACTGCTGCGTAACTCACTTCTCTGGGCAACAATTTTCTACTTAGGTACGCGACAGGGTGTTCTCCTCCATCTTCCCCGATCTGGCTTAAAACTGCCCCCAGTCCGTACATGGATGCATCTGTGTGGACGACAAATCTTTTGTTAGGGACTGGGGCAGATAGCACAGGAGCATTGATTAGTGCTTTCTTTAATGTCTGAAATGCTGTTTCACAGGCGGGAGACCACAGGACTATCCTAGGTAGATTCTTTTTGGTCAAATTTGTCAAGGGCTTGGTGATACTACTATAGTAGGGGACAAATTTTCTGTAGTACCCCGCTGTCCCTAGGAAGGCCAATACCTGGGTCTTGGTGTGGGGTGTGGGCCAGTTGGCCACGGCCTCAACCTTGGCTGGCTCTGGTCGCTGTTTCCCACATCCTACCCGGTGTCCCAGGTACTGTACTTCGGCCATGCCAAAGTGACATTTCTCTGGTTTCAGGGTGAGGCCTGCGGCCTTAATCTGGTCCAGCACGGCCCCTACATGTTGGAGATACTCTCCCCAGGTCTCACTGTAGATCACAATGTCATCCAGATACGCACAAGCGAAATCCTGGAAGCCATCAAGGAGTCTGTCCACCAAGCGTTGGAAGGTAGCTGGGGCGTTCTTCATCCCGAATGGCATGACCTTGAATTGGTACAAACCAAACGGGGTGACAAAGGCCGACTTGGGGACAGCCTCCTTGGCTAGGGGAATCTGCCAATATCCTTTACACAGATCAATGGTAGTCAGATATCTTCCCCTAGCAATGCGATCTAGGAGTTCGTCTACTCGGGGCATGGGATACGCATCTGTCACTGTTCGGTCATTAACCCCTTAAGGACTGAGCCAAACGTACACGTTGTGAACGAAACAAAATGTAAACAAAACCTGGCATTTGCGCTACATGTCTGTCCAACCGTAATTCACCTCTTTCATATTAAATGCACCCATCCTTATTATATATCATTTTATTCAGGGGAAACATGGCTTTCATTCAATATCAAATATTTAGCTATGAAACATAATTTAATATGAAAAAAATGGGAGGAAATAAGATTTTTTTTAATTTTTTTAGTTCTACATGACATTTTAACTGTCAGTGTCGTAATACTGTTTGCTTTTACTGCAATAAAATACACATATTTGTATTCAGCAAAGTCTCACGTGTAAAACAGTACCCCCTATGTACAGGTTTTATGGCGTTTTGGGAAGTTACAGGGTCAAATATAGCACGTTACATTTGAAATTGAAATTCGCCAGATTGGTTACGTTGCCTTTGGGACTTTATAGTAGCCAAGGAATGAAATTTACACCCATAATGGCATACCATTTGCAATAGTAGACAACCCAAGGTATTGCAAATGGGATATGTCCAGTCTTTTTTAGTAGCCATTTGGTCACAAACACTGGCCAAAGTTAGCGTTAGTATTTGTTTGTGTGAAAAATGCAAAAAACACCAATTTTGGCCAGTGTTTATGACTAAGTGGCTACTAAAAAAGACTGCCATCATAGGGGTAATTTTCATTCTTGGGCTACCATAGCGTCTCAAAGGCACCGTAACCAATCTGGCGAATTTTAATGTGAAAAACATGAAACGCAAGCCTTATATTTGACGCTGTAACTTTTGAAAACACCATAAAACCTGTACATGAGAGGTACTGTTGTACTCGGGAGACTTCGCTGAACACAAATATTTGTGTTTCAAAACAGTAAAAAGTATCACAGCAATAATATCGTTCGTGTAAGTGCTGTTTGTGCATGAAAAAGGAAAAAAACGTCACTTTTACTGGTGATATCATCTTTGTAATACATTTTACTGTTTTGAAACACTAATATTTGTGTTCAGCGAAGTCTCCCGAGTAGAACAGTACCCCCCATGTACAGGTTTTATAGTGTCTTGGAAAGTTAAAGGGTTACATATAGTGCTAGCAAATTAAATTCCCTTTACTTTCGGCATGGGTTGTCAGGCAGGTCCCGCTAATTGTAATTAATTAAGATACCTAATTATGTAAAAATATTACATAAATATATATGTAGAATTAATATATGTATATATATATATATATATGTATGTGAATCTATATGTGTATATATATATATAATTTTTACAAAAATATTTTTTATATGTAGGTATATATAGTGATATATACGTATATATTTATGTATGTAGATATATATATTATTTCGTTCTACATGTATTTTGATATAAATATATATATATATTAATATCAAAATACAGTTAGAACAAAATAACACACATCTATATAATTTTTTATTATTTTTTTAAATTATTTATTTTATTTTATTTTTTAACGTATTTACATATTTAATTTTTTTATAGTATATATAAATATATAACAATAATTATATATATATTTAATCAGTATCAGTCTACATGTAATTTGATATTAATATATATAATTATAGATATATTAGTAGTAAAATACACCTAGACAGTGTACGTGTGTGTATGTATATGTGTATATATATATACTTAGATCATATAGTATAGTATATATGATCTAAGTATATATTTTTTTTTTTACACTTATAAATTTTATTTTTATTTTATTTCTAGCCACCAGGGGGACCGCCCGTCATTACAGGCAGCCGTAGGTGGTGTCACATACTTGGGCCACCACCTTTTAAGGGCCCTGCAAAGAGTTTTGGAGCTTGTTCCCTTTCACTGGTCTAAGCACTTGAACTTTCTGTCCCACCTGGACTTATTTTTACCCAAAGTTTGGATGTACCCCAAATACTTGTACAGGCATAAATACGATAGCTTTGTTCTGGGGGCCAATATATCCAAAATTCTGCCCATTCGGTTCAGCCGTTCGGGAGATATGGGGCTTGAAAGTTTTGACCGACCGCACGGGCAAAATAGCCGAAAACAGTTCCATGAATTCTGGCCCTGCAGTCGGTCTTAGTTTGTGCATAAAAAGTCCCGAACGGCTGGCCATCCGTATATAATCTTACGTTCGCTGGAATCCCCATAAGCTGTTAAGTCTTTCTACCGAACGCCCTGTCGTTCAGTAGTTGTAGCACGATTTCCCAAAGTTATTTAGGTCTCAGGGGTGTTCACCTATTCGAGTGTCCGATTTTAGTTCCAGACACTCGACGGCAAAACACCGCTGTTAGGGAGTTAAAATGGCCGCGAACACGTGGAAGTCCCGAAATGGCGGCTACCCATACAGTTCGTATAGCGTTCGTGTGTTTCTTTGTACGAAAATCCCCATAGAGCAGGGAGGTAAATTGGTCATAATTAGGAATCAAGGTGGCCTGTTATTTGGTAGCAAGCAGCCGGTTAAGCTGTCCTCTTTGTTACATCATGTAAAGCTCAACATGGAGGATGTTATCAAGGCTCTGATCCAATCTACCTCTGTGCCACAGGAGGCTAACAGGAGAGCTGCAGAAAACAGTGCAGCCCTGCAGCAACTGGTGTTGGCCCAGGCAGAGTGTGCTAAAGTACTGGCCAAAACACAGATGGAGTGCACTGAGTCCTTGGTGAAACAGATTGCTGTGACACAAGCGGAGATGTTTAAAGTAGCCCGTGAGGAGCAGCAAAAAGTCACCCAGGGGCTACAACAGGAAATCCAAGCTATCTCTGAAAAGCTGAATGGAGACCATGATGGAAGATACCAGGGGCCAAAGGTGATTCGGGCGAGCCACTTCCTTCAGAAAATGACTGCATCAGATGATGTTGAGGCGTACCTTCTGGCATTTGAACGCACTGCTGTTAGGAAGGGATGGCCGGCTGATGAGTGGGCAAGCATACTGGCACCATTCCTAAGTGGAGAGCCGCAGAAGGCATATTATGACCTAGTACCAGCGGATGCAAGTAATTACAGCAAATTGAAAGCTGAAATCTTGGCACGACTGGGTGTAACCTCTGCAGTACGTGCCCAAAGGTTCCACTCATGGTCATATTCTTCTGACAAAGCCGCGCGTTCCCAAATGTTTGACCTCATACACCTCGCACGGAAATGGCTACAACCTGAAATCCATTCAGCTAGCCACATTGTGGAAACCTTTGTAATGGACCGTTTTTTGCGTGGTTTACCAGCTGCCCTGCGTCGCTGGGTCAGCCAAAATGATCCCCATACTGCAGATCAACTGATTGCCTTGGTGGAAAGATATGTGGCTGCTACGTCCTACGTCACAGGAAAACCCACCGCAATCCTAAGCCCCAAGATTCTGCAAGACCTGGTAAGACTGTTCGAGGTTTAAGGGGAACTGAAGAGCTGCAGCTCTATACACAAAACACCAGGGGGGCATCCAGGTTTAATAGGCCTGGGAGAGGAACTAATAGGTGGTCAGATTTTACTGTCAAATGTTTCAAGTGCAAAGAGGATGGTCATATGGCCAAAGACTGTGCATTGAAAGATGAACCTATGGAATGCAATATGGGGAAAGATGAGGGAGCACGTTCATTTTTGCTCAACTGTTATGGTGCTGTGAACAATGACTATGATAATAACCCTCATAAATTCTGTGTAACTGTGATTGGAAAAATGTCTAAAACATTACTTGATTCAGGTAGTATGGTTATGTTGGTAGCAGAGTCTATAATACCTTGTGTAAAACCTGATCATGTTCAGAAAATAGGCATTATCTGTGTTCATGGTGATAAAAAGGAATACCCCACTGCGGAAGTAAATATTGGAACCCAGTATGGGGATTTAAAGTACCGAGGGTGTAGTACCTAGATTAGCCCATGAGGTAGTGATCGGTAGAGACTTTCCTAATTTTCTTGAATTACGGGCAGCTGTACAAGAGACAG